AGAAAAATACGAAGTTAAATGTGGCGCCCCAAACTAATAAAAAATTACATGTGGGTCAATTCGAACCCAGACCACTATCTATGGGTAATTTTTCCTTGGACACTCAATTTTTAGCATTCAAGTTGAATTTGAATAAAAGAAGTCTCAAACCAATTTTAATCCAAACATCTCAAATTTTAGGGACCCAATCTGCTCTCCGCCCATTTTCTTTAATTTACATTCAACTCAAATTGAACTTGAAATTTAATAGGAATTATATAACTAGAGAATCAAACAAATCTCAATCCAACTGGTGTCTTTCGAGAGGAAAAGTATGGACATTGATTGAATTCAAGTTGAAGGTCACATGGCGAGAGGTGTTATGAACTAGGCGTAACTCGTGTCTGAGATACGGTGTAATGTGAATGATTTTGAGAGGAATGTTGGTGGCCGTTGGATAAGTCTATTTGAGACTGTCGAATAGACTCATTAAAATTTATCATATTTTATATTATAGAGTTCATTAAGCTCATATTGTCCTCCCCTCCTCCTCCAAATCCAAAAAAAAATTGCATTCCTAAGATGGTCAGAAGTAGCATTTTGTCATTGGGATGGAACTCTGATTCAAACTTCATGGATATTCGGATTCTCTTTCCTAAATTTGTACATCACTTTTGTATGTAAAAAAAGTCGTTATGATCCGCATGTTGAGCAGTTAATTACAGCAAGTCTTGATTGATGTAAGTCATAGCTGGTGTAGTTCAAAAAATTGAAAGTTGTACCCCGTCTTCTCTCTAATAAAGTCTTTAACCTTCAGGAAATAGTAATGAGCCTTCACCAATTGGTTGCACTTTTTTAAAGAACTTTCCTTATGAATTTGGTCGGACTTGTTAAGTCCGTTTGGTAGAATAAGTTCCCACGCCTTCTACCAATTACGATGGGACATAACATCATCTTGCACAACGAAAACTTCTTGATTTTCAAAGTTGATGAGGGAAAATAAAAAGATAAATCACACTTCATATTCTAAAAGATATAAAAAATTATCACGTTATACTCTCAAATATTAAAATTTTTATATTATACCTTAAATGTATTAAAAATATTATAATGTAATTATTTTGTTAGTTTTTGTTACTCATTTTATCAAAAAAAANAAAAGAAGTCTCAAACCAATTTTAATCCGAACATCTCAAATTTTAGGGACCCAATCTGCTCTCCGCCCATTTTCTTTAATATACATTCAACTCAAATTGAACTTGAAATTTAATAGGAATTATATAACTAGAGAATCAAACAAATCTCAATCCAAATGGTGTCTTTCGAGAGGAAAAGTATGGACATTGATTGAATTCAAGTTGAAGGTCACATGGCGAGAGGTGTTATGAATTAGGCGTAACTCGTGTCTGAGATACGGTGTAATGTGAATGATTTTAAGAAGAATGTTGGTGGCCGTTGAATAAATCTATTTGAAACTGTCGAATAGACTCATTAAAATCTGTCATATTTTATATTATAGAGTTCATTAAGCTCATATTGTCCTCCCCTCCTCCTCCAAATCCAAAAAAAAATTGCATTCCTAAGATGGTCAGAAGTAGCATTTTGTCATTGGGATGGAACTCTGATTCAAACTTCATGGATATTCGGATTCTCTTTCCTAAATTTGTACATCACTTTTGTATGTAAAAAAAGTCGTTATGATCCGCATGTTGAGCAGTTAATTACAGCAAGTCTTGATTGATGTAAGTCATAGCTGGTGTAGTTCAAAAAATTGAAAGTTGTACCCCGTCTTCTCTCTAATAAAGTCTTTAACCTTCAGGAAATAGTAATGAGCCTTCACCAATTGGTTGCACTTTTTTAAAGAACTTTCCTTATGAATTTGGTCGGACTTGTTAAGTCCGTTTGGTAGAATAAGTTCCCACGCCTTCTACCAATTACGATGGGACATAACATCATCTTGCACAACGAAAACTTCTTGATTTTCAAAGTTGATGAGGGAAAATAAAAAGATAAATCACACTTCATATTCTAAAAGATATAAAAAATTATCACGTTATACTCTCAAATATTAAAATTTTTATATTATACCTTAAATGTATTAAAAATATTATAATGTAATTATTTTGTTAGTTTTTGTTACTCATTTTATCAAAAAAAAATTTATTGATATGATAAAATTAGTAACGGGAGCTAAAAGAAGGGTTATATTATAATATTTGAAATATATTGAATAGATATAATGTAAAAAATCTAATTTTTAAGGGTATAAAATATAAATTCTTAAATATTTGATAGTACAAAGTGTAATTCTCCCAAAAGAGGAAATAAAGACAAAAGAGGGAGGTCAAAGTTGTTATTCTACGACGAAAAAGGCCAGCAAGAGTGACGAAGCGGAAAAGCTGAGGTGTAAACCGACCTTTTCAGACATCGAGCGTGGTTCGCGAGGTGGATCGCGTGACGGCCGGTGAGTAACACGTGCAATCTTACTGATCTTCGCGTCATCATTTGCATTTTTTCAATCGATTATTTTCGTCCAAACACGGTTTGTGTTGGATAATTCTGATTCCGATGAGGTGGTAGTCGGGGAGGGTTGTTTATACCAGCCTTAGTTTTGTCCTCGTTGGTATCGGGGATTTTTAGTTTTGACGCAATGTTAAGGTTACTCTGTTATGAATTTGTGCAGAAATAATTTTTTTTGTTTGTAAAAGTGAGAGTGAGTATAATTTAACTCTCCTTAAATGCCATAATATCAGAAATCATATATTTTGATTACGTCTTTTATTTTTTGGTAATGGTTATACTTATATATAAATTTTTTTTTTTTTTGGTGTAAAACAGAGTGTTCAAGTTGACATTGACTAAATTAGTATCTACAGCATACATGTAAAATAGTTTAAAAATTATTAAAAGAAAAGAAATTGATTATATATTGATAATGTTCACGTTTATGTAAAGGAGACATAAGCAATGGATTAATTAAACCAATTAGTTTGCTTTTTAGTTTGAAATAGTTTTAATAGAGATTAAATTATTTTTTTTCTAGAATTGCTATGTGCAAATATTCGTAAGATTTCGTCGTGTACTTGAAATAAATTTGTCAAGAACCTATTCGCGATATATTTATAAGGGCAACAATTGCTTAAAATAGAGAAGTTACATATTTTAAGGTCTATATTCTATTTCAACAACTCATATGCGACATTTCCACTAAACTTGTCAACTTAATTATGACCTGATTTTGTTAAAAGCTAAATTAACTCAACGCATAAGACGATTTATTTGTTGAGTAGGTTTAGCAGGGTAAATCTCATTATAATTTGAACTCATTAAAACAAAATTCATATATAATTTCTTGACAATTAGCAAGCTGTATTAAAAAGTGTCAATCTTAATCAGGAATTTAATCCAATCTAACAATAAGATAAATTGTGAGTTGTAGTATTATATAGATTCCACTTTTAATTCAATGATTATATTGAATTATGTCCCCAGATTATGTGACCAAATTAAATTCAAATAGTATATTTAAAAATTTTATTGTATCATCGAAAAAGTTAAAAGAAAAATGATATTTTTGAAAATCTAATAAAAAATTCAAGGGAAAATTTCAGTTACATTCCCCCAATTTATCATATCTTTAAAGACAACCCCTGTAGTTTCTGAATCTTTACTGACACCCTTATCTAGTTAAATACCATAACTAAAATATAATTTTACTAAATTGCCCTTAATATATTTTAAGAAAAACTTCATCTACACCTCATGTAAATAGACATATTTTAAATAAGACCCCCTCTATTTTATAATTTTTTTTACTTATTAAAACTCGGGCCGTCTAAAATTTGATTGAAGCCAAATAAAATTCGTTTTTAATCAACTCGCATTGAATTTTAATCAGTCTAAATTTTGATACGTAAAAAGATATAAATTTTAATTGATTCTAATTTTAATACATAAAAATTAAATTTTAATTAACTTGAATCAAATTTTATTTAGCACGGATTTTAATAAGTAAAAAAAATATAAATTTTAATCAACTCGAATTGAATTTTAATTAACACTAACAGCTTATGTTGAGCTCAAATCGATTCAAATTTTAGTATGTAAAAAAGGAATTTTAATAGGCTTAAATTTTAATATTCGTAAAAAAATAAAATTTAATCAGCTCGAAACGAATTTTAATCGGGTCAAATTTTAATATGTAAAAAAAATTTAATCAGCTCAACTTTTAATATATAAAAAAATAAATTTTCATCAACTCAAGTTTTATTTAAATTTTATGTAAAAAGATTGTTTGGGGTTTATGTAAGGACAATTTTAGTATTTTAGATATATATTTTTTATTATAAATAGTGGTTTAATGACAGAGGTATTAGTGGTGTTTAAATATAAACTAGAAGGGGTTCCAGTGATATGTTAGATAATGAAGGGTATACCTTTGGAGATATGGTAAATTAGAGAGGTGTGACTCAAATTTTTCAAAAATTCAAAGGGTGTTTTGAGAAATCCAGAAAGTTAGTCGCTAAAAATCACGTAGGACTAGGACCACCAAACTAGAGAGGGACTAAATTAAAAACAATGAAGTGCACACGAGGAGAAACATAATTGGTTAGGAATTAAATATCACATGATACTATCGAAAAATGATTTTATTACAACTTTTTTTTCATAACATGTATGTGCATATATATAGGACATTGTAGGGGGTGGCAGGCGTGCCTGACCTTCGGAATCTACAAGGTGAAGCGGCGCACATTAACTAGTAATGGTCACCCTCCTCCGCTCATTTATTGTTCTTCTCTCTCTAACAGGTTCATCTTCTACTCTCTGCTTCTTGTTCACTCCCTCTCTCTCTCTCTCGATATATATGTGTGTGTGGTGTTTTTTATTTTTTTGGTGTCCATTGGATATTTGAATGGTTCATTTGATTCAGTTTTGGTTGGTTAACCAAGGATGAAATGCAAAATCAAAAACTGAATCTTTGGATTTCTTCATGAGAAAATGGAGAACTTATGTCATCTATGTCAGGTAGCTGTGCGATGTTCAATTGGGTGGCTGAGACATTCAATATTGAGTAGTTCAACTTCTTGTAGATTTGCCAGCATATTCTCTTTGTCAGAGTTAATGCTTGTGGAATATTGATGGATAGTGTACGAGTTTAAGTCGATTTTTTTTTTTTTCTGAATTTTGTTGAGATTTATGGATGATTATGTTGTGAACTTGCATGTTATCGCGTTGAGTTGTTGAATTGTTGTAGATTGAAGTATGTATCAGCATTTTCTGTTATTTATTTTCTGCTTTTTGTACTTGACATTCAAACTTAGGATTTGTTTGAAATTTTTGATTTTTTCTTTTATTTTCCAAATGTTTGGTGGGTATCTTGAAATTGGTAAGAAACATTGTTTTCTTCTGATTTTGGGTTCCCTTATCAAATACAGATTCATAAATACTAGCTAGTCATATAGTTTTCTCCATTATGGAACAATAGTCTTCTATAAGCACCCATTGATCCAATGCAATTGGGTTGTTTGACTGTCTTGGTTATTTTCTCTGTTTCCAGATTTATTTGTTAGTATTGTTAGCCTCGGAATTGGAATTAACTATGGCCAGATTGCCAACAATCTCCCATCTCCTTCCCGGGTTGCCATCCTCCTTACATCTGTCAACATCAGTAGAGTGAAACTCTACGACGCTGATCCAAACGTATTAAGCGCATTCTCCAATTCGAATGTTGATTTTGTTATTGGACTTGGGAATGAGTATCTTCAGACAATGACCGATCCTGTTCAAGCTCAAACTTGGATTCAACAGAATGTCCAGCCTTACCTTCCACAGACAAAGATTAGTTGTATAACCGTTGGAAATGAGGTCTTATCTGGAAATGATACTCAGTTAATGTCCTATCTCCTCCCGGCAATGCAAACCATATATGGCGTTCTTGTAAATCTTGGCCTAAGCAAACAAGTATATGTGACAACTGCACATTCACTTGAAATTTTAGGTAATTCCTTCCCACCTTCCGCAGGGGCTTTCCAACAAGATCTTGCTGAGTACATCCAACCCATTCTCAATTTTCATTCGCAGACCAACTCGCCGTTCCTCATAAATGCATATCCATATTTTGCATACAAAGATGACCCAGATCAGGTTTCACTGGAGTACGTGCTTTTCCAGCCTAACCCAGGGGTGACTGATCCAATTACGAATTTGAACTATGATAATATGTTATATGCACAAATTGATGCTGTTTATTCATCAATCAAAGCGATGGGTTATACAGACGTGCAAGTTAAAATTTCTGAGACGGGTTGGCCATCTAAGGGGGATCCCAATGAGGTAGGAGCTACACCAGAGAATGCAGAAATATACAATGGTAATTTGCTGCAGCGGATAGAACAGCAGCAAGGTACTCCAGCAAAACCATCAGTACCAATCGATATATATGTTTTTGCACTTTTTAATGAAGATCTTAAGCCTGGTCCGACATCAGAGAGGAACTATGGGCTATACTATCCAAATGGTACTCCAGTTTATAACATTGGTTTACAGGGTTATCTTCCCCAGATGGATTACTCAGCTTCACAGAAGAATGTAAGTATCTTGATTTTTTAGTAAGCTCTTCATAGTATCATCCTTCTTCACACAGTTGCTTCATTCGAGTAAATGCAAGATGCATTTTATAGATCCAAATATGAATTACCAGCGTCTTTCGTTTGCACTGGCTGAATTAATACCAAGATATAATTTCATGAAGCTATGAATCTAATGCTATTATTGTCTCATATTTTGCAGGCCTTGTCTATTTGCACTCTTCTCCTTTTTTCCCTAGTATCCTTAATCTATGTTTAGAAGGTGGAGAATTAATTAATTTGAGGCAGACGGGAAGATGGAGAAAAGAGGAGCCCCTGAAGTCCCTCGATTCCTCAAAGATATCGTCCTTACAGTTTGAGGGGTAGATTGTAGAGGTAAAAAGTTCAACTCCCATTACTCAATTCATCTTGAGTTTTTTTAAGTAAGAGTAGTATAGCCGACCCCAAATGATTGGGATTTTAGACTTGGTTTGATTTGGTTAGTAGTATAGTCTTCCCCCACGCACATAATTCCCCTGCATTTCCTATTAATTTAAGTTGATTATGAACTCAAATTCCTGGTGATTAGACATGTAGTTATCTGGTGAGAACTAATCATTCATTGGGGTCTTCTCAAATTAGTCATCATGTGATCTCCAGTTCTCTGAGCTCATTTTCTGAGATTTCAGAAATATTAGGGAATGAAGAGTCTAGGAACTGTTTGGTGAGAAATTTACAACCATTTATGGAATACGTTTCAACTCCATAATATTATTTCCCATATGAGGTAACATTATTTCTTGGAAGTCTATCATGGGAAAGACATTCAATATTAGAATGAGCTTGCAAATACCGTATTTTGTGTGTTGAACATCATCGTTTCAAACTCCAAACATGTAACATCAATATTTTGTTTGAGCCAGAGAGTTGGCTTGTGGCTTTCTACGTTGTGGAGCCCTTTTTGACTATAGGGAATTTTTGCATCAGCATGGCCTAAAGAGGATAAGCTTGCCAGATAGACGAATTTACATGACAAATGCATATAGTGACTGGCTATATATTTGATCCCCAGTTCGTAGGACGGCCAACAGTTCATGATCAACCGACCCTCTTGTTAAAAGTGATCTGTGGTGGTCCAGACAACATTGGACCTCGACACCATTCGTTGGAACTGCAAAGCTCATATAAAGTGGTGTGGATTGAGGAAACATATGGTAGAGAAATCTAAACTAAGTTAGCTTGATTACACGCCAACTCAGAGTTCAGTCCAACTTTCATTCATCAAAGATATATTCTATGAATACTACTAATTATATGGTGGTTGGTAGGCGATGGCTTAGCACTGTCCATAGAAAGTTTAAGATAATCTTTCTTTCCCTCGTGGTTGTTAGTCTATTGTTTGGTCCATACACATGGCATGTGTTTAATTACGATTGGATCTTTAAATAGGGTGGGTATCGATAGTGATCTTTGATTATTCGTGGAATTAATCCTGTGCCGCCTTTGTTTGTAGGGAGCCAACCATGGTGGAACTTTCATTTTCATCCTGGACGTCACAGCTAAAAATTTAACACCGATGCTGGATCAGCGAATTTGTCTTTGGAATTGATCAGAACCAATGTACACATATCAAAATAATTCATTACAGATCAAAGAGACTAAATATTGAAAAGGTAATTCGTGTTGAAATTCATACTACATTACAGCAATAAAGTGAACCAACTGCAGCAGGAACTGTAATAAGGTTAATACGATTCTTTAACAAATAGACGATAGTTTGTAACTTGGTGAAGTTTGAGGGGGGCTTATATGATTTTGTTGAGGGTACAACCTTGTACAATTCAAAGACCAATCAGGGTTTTATATTTTTTTCAATTTATTACAGTTTACTCTTGTGTTCATAGCATTTAATCTTTATTACACTACTGCTTAAGCCAAAAGTTGGGAGATGCCTGATCTTGTACTGTCTCATTGGTTGGTTATATTGCTTTCTTTGTTACTGTTGGAATGAGCAAGAAATTGATATGATGAAAATTGAAATTTAAGAATGGGAATCGGCAGGCTTCTTCAGGCAGTAAAGCGAATTTGATCAACAGGGTGAAATATTTCAAGTACATAACAAAGAATATTGAACAGCCAGAAGTAGACAGTGGTGGATGAGCTTAATCTTCCAACCTAATTTCAAGAAGAAATCCTGGAAGAAATAAAACTCATGAATGGTTGGAAGCGGAGAAGCTAAGAACTATGCAATTGGAGAGTTGGTCGTCGAGGATAGCTCAAATGGAAAGGCCCGGTTGGTCCAATACACGTGGTTTGCGAGTGAATGCTACATCCATAATTTAGGTTGCTGCCATTCAAAACCAATCCTATAATTGCTGCAGGCGGGTCCCTGGTTGATGGTTCCTTTGCTTAGTCTATAATGCATGTTAAATTGATTAGGTTTCTTCACCATGTGAGATGCTTGGGTCTAAATCTCAAGCATGTGCTTTTGCTGTAAGGAAGCCAGCAAGTCTCACACACACACACACGTGGCAGAAAGGAGAAAGAAAAGAGTGTACTCGAACTTTCGATTAATACCATATAACCAAAAAGTTTGCCCCTATGTTCCGAAAGAACATAATTCAACTCCATATAAAATGGCCAAAATACGGATTAGAAAAAAATAGCAAAAATATGGTTAAATAATCGAAGTGATACGTTTGATATTGCGATTATCAACATGACGAGAGAAATCAATAATTTACCTAATTTTTAGCTCTACCCATTTTCACTGGCCTCAATTATCGCTAGGCATTACGAGGAATGCCAAGCTGATAAAAAGTATGGAATTAATTATCATAACGGAACAAATTTAAAATTTTAATGTGTGAAAATGAAATCAACAACACCATTATGGTAATGCGATATCATTTGGTACTGGTTAACCTAAATTCAGATATTTTCCAATACACTTTCTCTTCAAGGAACATCATCTATTGTTAATGAGTGAGAGACTCATTTGTATATAATGGGTTTTACTTGAATACATGATGGATGATGTGCTTTAAAAATAAAGTGTATTGAAGATGATCTCACTCTGGTCAACCTAGTTTGACATGTTTAATTCCTTCTATAAAAAGTCTTGACACTATCTGGGGCTAATTATTAATCGTGTCATGTTCGGGTTGATTTATATGACTTGTGAAATAGAAATTCAAGAGTAGAACTTCTATTTTCCTCAATAAAACATTGTATTTGATAGAGTTTAATGACGAAAGAGAATTCATGTAACCGATCCTAAAAATATTAGGACAAAGCTGAGCGGAGTTGAGTTAAATTAATCAATCTTAANGTATTTGATAGAGTTTAATGACGAAAGAGAATTCATGTAACCGACCCTAAAAATATTAGGACAAAGCTGAGCGGAGTTGAGTTAAATTAATCAATCTTAATCCACTAGTTTCGTGTTAAATTCGTGTCGTGTCGTCTTATTGTGTTAAAAATCACTTCCAGTCTGCCCCGAAAATTAATTTCTGACTTTGTTTTCCGACAACATAACAAAAGCGTCTCTTTAAGGTCCAAAATCTAAGCCCATGGGCTGGACTGTAAATAGAATAGGCCCAATTGGGCCTGGCTCACAAATTCGCAATCATGTAATCCACATGTCAATGGCGGGAAAGAGACCTAGACAAAGCACTGGTGTGTTCAGGTTTTTAGAGAGAGAGAGAGATGACGGAGAAAGAGAAACAGAAAGTCGTAGCAGAGACTGAGGAGCTGCCGAAGACAATCGTGCGCAGGCTGGTGAAGGATAAGCTTTCTCAGCTGTCCAAAGAAGGCGACGTCTCTGTTTTACGTGAGGCTCTTCAGGCCTTCTCCGAGAGCTCTCGTATCTTCATACACTACCTCTCCGCTACGTCAGCCTCTCTCTCTCTCTCTCTCTCTCTCTCTGTGCATGTTTGTGTGTGTTGAATGTGTGGTTTGATTACAGAATTTCATCGCTTTGTGAATGTATGTTTATTCCACTCTAAGGCTAAATTTTCTAGGGTTTCAAAATTTGACCGCTGGTTTTTGCTATTATACTCGCAAATGTGTGAATGACTTAATTGTTTGATTGTTTATTTGGAATGCCTTAGTGGTAATTTTGGGCATTACTTTGATTACATTTGTTTACTTGAGGTTTTTCGCTGTAAGAGTATGATTCTAAGCCTAGTCACAATCAGGAATTTTACAATGGACATCTCCCGTATGCATATAATAAATTTTGGTTGAAGTGCAATGGTAATTCATCATCCCATATTAGAAAATTGTCGATGAATTTGATTGTTAGGGGTTGAAAGATGTAGAAATGACTACAATGAATCCATTGTTCTTGTTTTGTATATGTGGGTGTCTTTGTTTTGCTGAAAATAATGGCTATGTGCAGGGCAAATGACATATGCAAGGAGTCCAAGAGACAAACAATCAATGCTGAGGATGTATTTAAAGCTCTCGAAGAGATTGAGTTTTCTGAGTTTGTTGGGCCTCTAAGATCTTCTCTTGAAGGTCAGTGAATTTCCTTAAATTGGGTTTTCCTTTCTACAAATGTAGTTAGCTTTATTATCATTTCTTCACTCGTAAGCTGTATATTGAGATTAATTTTAGTTCCGAAAAAGTATGATTTCGTGGACACTGAAGCTGCCATATGAGGGGTGTTTAAGCCTGCAAAGCAAAGGAAAATGAAGCAACAATTTTTTTTTACCTTCTTGTTAAAGCACTGAACTGTTGAAACCAGTTCTATATGTCTTTGTCAACATTATGGCGTGGGTGGTTTGTGGTTTTCTTAGACAAGTACTCTGTACTTAAAACCCACCAAGAAATATTTTGACGTCATTTGGTTAAATTATAACATCATCGGTACTGTTGTTCATCAAAAAATAACGGTCCCTGTCATGCAAATTCTTAGTGTTCTACCCACAAAGACTAGAATCAAGAAATGTTAACTGGTTGATGGGTATCATGGTAAAGCACCACCAAAATATGGTAGAACTAAAGACTACAAGTCATCTTTAAACCAAAGAAAAAAAGGGACTGCAGGCATGCACTTCACACAAAATAACATTCTTGTATCTATTTTTTGCCATATGTCACTGTTCCTTGTCAAAAAATGTCTTTATTTCGATTTCAGGTAGCAGCTTCTATTCTGCCCTCAAGTAGCAACACAATTAAACAAAGTGTACAAATTTGTGAAGTAATAATTCACTTCAGCTCATAATTGGTAATTGTAGGAAATTTCCAGTCCTAACTTCTTTTTCATAACATGTAGTAGATGTTCAGAGGTCCAGAGGAGAATCAGAAACAATTTTTGTTTCTGTGAGACCATGGTATGGCTTGTGAGTGGTGTTATGTAAGCACTATTAGTTTACAATTCCCTCTCTTTTTTAAAGAAAATTATTGAGCAGACAGTATCTCCATAACATAAATACAAGTTAATTTTCAGTACTTTGCTCGTTTGTTGAAAGTTAGAAGGCCAAAGTCGTAATTTGGTTTAATTTAGGGCCGGAATATATATGTTTTCAATTAGATGTGACATGTGGAGATGAAATCACTCCTTTTACAATCTTTATAATCTTTTTCCTGAAAATGCAGTTGACCTTCCTAATCCATGGCTGACTTTGATCGTTTGAATTTTTTTTGCTTTTTTCTTGATCATATAGCTGAAGGTGGATGTGAAATTGTTACTAAAAAATTTGGTTTTAATAAACTTCCCATTTTGAACATTACCAAATTTGTGGCCCAATTTCTTCGGGTTTGAATGTTTCTGATGAACAGTTGAATTTCCTTTGCTCACCTGCCCTATTCTTCCTCCGCTGACTGTATGTGTGCCAGATAAAGAAGAATAGTCAACATTTTAAATGGTTGGGAATGTCATCCTGACACTATACTTCTTTGCAGAAAAACTTGTTTTAACATGTCACTCATAATGTTGCCAGCTTACCCTTTCTCATCCTTTTCTTCCAGAGTTCAGGCGAAAGAATGCTGGAAGGAGGTCAGGATCATCAAAGGCAAAAGAAGCCAAAAAAAACAGTAAACAGAAAGACACAAGCATGGAAAATGGGAGTGAAAGCAACCAAAATGAGGATGAAAGCAATGAAGTTCGGGATGATGCTCCTGATAATGACTGAATGTGCGCCTATTTACCCTATCAGAGTGGTTATAAAGAAGAAAGAGACAGAGAGGACCTGTGTTGAATTTTTAATCCGTCATCAAGGGTTTTATCCGAAGTCTTCAGTTTTTGGTTTTCAAAGTATGCTATCATGGTAGACATTAAGTAGTTATATCATAGCTAAAGCTAGTTGTAGAGCCTTTGCATAGCTGTCGGGCATGGTTGTGTTTAGCCTTCGTAACTTTATGTGATCGATGCTTCCAAAATTCATCCAAAGACTATATAAGATTGGCTCAGCAAAAACTTGTTCGAAATAGGCTCATAAGATAAATGAACTATGCTTGAATTTTATTTAAATCTGACTTATATTCCAGACTAATAAGCTTGAGCAAATTACTACTCAACTAGCCTTGTATTGGCTCATTCGATACAATAATCACAAGCTCCAACTTGGTTTGCCGTTACTTCAATTCGTTGGCAAGAACATGGAAGAGCTCAAAAATTAACATAAGACACTTGTCTGTCGTGGGTACAAAACAATACCAACAGGTCCATTCCACACAGCATAAAACCTCAAGACAAGACTCGAGAGCAATGAATGGAGTGATGAAGACTAAAGGTAACTGATCGGTTGCAGCTTTTTGAATATGCTAACATGGAAAGCCACAACAATGTTGATTCCAATTCTGGAAAAATGTGGAGTTTTACAAGGCAAAAGGAGTTCTTCAACAACAAAATTGGCAATAAAAAAATATCTATTACTCTGATCAAATGGAAAAAGTGAAAACAAGTATAATCACTAGTATGTCTCTCCTAAGCACAATCTACTCTCTCTTGTATGAATGTCGAAACCCTACAAGTTGTTTTACAACAAAGCCAAATGTGTCTGTCTTGCACTTGACAATCTCAGCTATATCATTGGCACCAGGAGAGCTTCCACCTGGAAAATTGAGGTATAAACAACTTTTAACCCCTACTGAAAAGTCCGTTTCAATGGCACACGGCTAAGTAGTTCATTTCTATGCTTGACCAATTTAAGTAACCCCTCGTGAATGTGTAAGTTGAACCTATTCTCTAACTTCAATAAATGATGGGATGTGGTATCCGTCTCTATTTCATGTATTCCAAAACACTCTGATTGATCTCCTCAAGGAATGAAACGAAACCCATGACGCTTGTGAAGCCACTTCCATCAACATCCTGTTCTTCAATCAGATAGTTCTCAAATGCTGTGGCATCATCTTGCCCTCCCCTGATAAATATGAGTTTTGGAGTGATGCTTCGCTCTTGCTTGAGTTTGTTTATGGTTGTCCTCAATAAGCCTATATAAGAAACATTTCCCTAAGCAAAGCAAATAATTCTTCCAAAACTTGAAAGGAAGCAGAAAAAAATGATGCAGACAGACTTACAGTCATGGGGTGGAGGGAAAGGAAGGGTAGGGTCAACTGTAGAAGAATAAAATACAATAAGAGCCGTGAATGCATCAAGGAAAAATATTGGACTGCCACTAGTTATCAGTGCAGCACGACTCAAAGAATGACGAGGGAACGCTTGTTTATCAGGAGTGGCAAATGATGTTAATAGCGGATATATAGCCCGGTGAAGAGAACTTGGCTCTAGAGCACTGCATCACAAAAAGCAAATTGTGCAATTAATCAGAGACATATAACAGAACAAGCTTTGAGGAGATACAAAAAAATGCCAAGGCAATTGCCTACAATACATGTAGGAAGTTTATTGACACAGTAGGGTAAATAATAGAGAAACATATACAAGATGAGCACTGAAAGAAGGCAAATCCGGCCAACCATGGAACAACTTCCATGATGGAAACATACTATTTTGATCTACTCACGAGTTGCGTAATCCATAGTCCAAGAGGTTCATCAACTTCAAGTGCATGGTGGTATAGTAAACTATCCTTACATGAAAGCAACCCGTGGGGTCTTAAAGAACATCTATTGCTATCAATCAGGGGAGAGCCGGAGAGCAATTTTTTGTCCCGTGGTGAAATTTCCATAACACCCCTACTTTCTCCCTATTTCAACCACCCATATCTCTCCCTGTTCATAAACACCTCTAAACCACCATACATTTATCTTCCCTTGGTTTATTTTCCACCGTATATCTTTCCCAGATCAAAGAAAGTTCAGAGAAAATCAAAGGAAAAAGGAGTGAGAGGGAGATCCAGGAAAATAACAATTCCCCAACATAATTGTGTGTATTGGTTACCTGAATAGGCACTGAAGGTATATTCGGTAGTCAGGATGAACACCTTCTTCATGAAAGCGGAGAAGAGGATTTCGGAGCAAAGCAAAGACTAATCGAGGTAAAGGCTGCAGTTGTGGGCATTGTGAGAATGCGACATCAATATGAGAAGTCGTTGAACTTCCATGCCCATACTGAACAAGCTTACAAGCATCATTATACTGAGCCGTAAGGATTACAAGCCAATCATGTAATAACATCCTGCCCTCCCGAACTCCTTCCTCCAATGACGCTAATATGACCTGACGAGTAAAAGACAGATAAACAGACGCAGTGAAGTAACAAGAGGCACAATATATCCAAGCTTTGTACTATTAAACATTTTTCTAAGCTATTACAACTAAAGGCAAATAATACTTTGATAATATTCCAGTAGATTATCCAAGTTCATTTCATAAATGACCACATTATCTGTGAATCAATCCATTCCTGTTGCTTGCTTATTTGACTTTGTTGATAATTCAACTATACCTACATCATCCTCATGATAATTTTGATTCTTCACTTCCTCCGCCTCTTAAAATATCAGTTCCATCAACTGAAACTGATCTGCATGGTTTTTCCAATTTGATCCTACTCTTATAAATGATGCC